AGAGTTTTCCTTGAGAACAAGCATTACATAAAAACTCGCCCATTTGTAATATTTTCCTGTTTTTCAACGGATGGCCATTAGAATTTTGCACAATCTTTCTCATCATGACTGAACCAGGATGGCCTAACCTTTCATGCCAAACTTTAAATGTACTAGTAAACTTCTGGTTTACTGTGACATATGATTCAGTCATACTTATTTTTGTGCAATATAATCCAGAGGATAACATTTTCAATTCTTCCAATATATGTTTCCTCTCTGATGTAATGCAAATATATTTAATGACATTCTTATTCATAGTCTCTATATTATATCCATTTCCGCGGATATCTTTGAAACTTAATAAGTTTCTGTAAGACTTTGAGGAATATAATGCATCATTTATCTTAAACTTTGTTCCCCTTGGCATTGAAAAACTGACTCTTCTAGAGCCCATAATAATTTTTGCATTACCAGATATCGTATTCACGCTTTCAGCGGAATCACTTATTTTGAGACTGGAGAAATACTTTTTATCTTTAATAATCGTGTGCATTGTAGCACTGTCTGCCAGACATATTTCTCCATCCATAGTCTCAAATTCTGAAATTTTTTGAATTTAAAATATTCATAAAAGATGTATTAATAAATATTAAACACATACCTGGCAATACAGCTTATGGTACAATAGAACCTACAACAAAAACACTCAAAAACAGAAGCATATAATACATTAAAACATTAAGCTTTTGTCTTTCAACGTCCCAACCATCATCCTATTCTTTCATTAAATTTGTCCATCACATTTACTGTAAGTGGATTACTCAACATTCTCCCCTAGGAATGGAGTTAATTTAGTTGGACAAAACTGATGGTTTCTCATCACAAGTTTATTATATTATTAAACTACCAGGAGGATTTATATCAACTCCGAGCTTTGGGTGAATTCTCTCGCCTGGAGATTCAACCACTTATTTCCCAATATCTTCAGGATCTTTACTCGTGATGGATTTATCATTTAAACCATCATGGATATGGTGGCGTAAAAAGATCATGATATTTGCCTTATTTCATCAAATATCGTTTCTGATATATCTATAGTGCTCAAGAGATCATTTCTCTCTAGATGCAACTTTGCACCTACCGCCCAAGACATATAATTCTTTCCACACAAGTCAAGGATGGCCATCTCGAGCTTTGACAAATACTTAATAACAAAAGCTTAATTCGTTAGATTAAAAATTTGAGCATAGTAACGGCATAATAAATGACAATAATTAAAAGCAATATGAGGAGGCAGAGCCTACCATACAATTGCTAATTGCATAGATAAATAAATGAACAAAGATGGAGAGTTTTAATCACCCACACAATAAATAAATAAATTAATTAATTAATTAATAAACAGATAAATAAAGATGGGGGTTTTAATCTTCCACTCAATGATCCGAGGAGACATAGTCTATCATGTGATCATTTAGATCATGAAGGCATAGCCTACCATAACGATCCGCTTGGAGGAGGCAGAACCTACCATCCCGGCATAATAAACAATATAAACGGAGATGTTCAGGATAAATTATAAATTTAAAATAAATTGAACTAAAATAAATTTTACCTTCTGGATATAGATCTGACTTCGGAGTATAGAGACGTTCGTGCTAATAACGTATTATAAACTATTTATTATACAAGTGAGATATAAGTAATATATATATATATATGAAGTAGGTGTCTATGGAAAGGAGGAGAGACGTGAGAGAGAGAATAGGAAAGATGAGTATTTTCTTTCTTATTGATGTGGTCGTATATCTTCGTTACAAAACATAGGGAGGGGTTTATATAGTGAAGGAGAGAGAGAGTTACAATGTTTAAAGACAAAACTTAAATGGATAAGCGTTAATATTTAGAGACAAAATATCTCTTAACAGAACGTTTAATCATCCAAAGCAAAAAAGAAAAAAAAATTCAATCCCAAAAAGGATAAATTAGACCATCTCCATCGGTCGTATCTAATTTAGATACAATCATGTTTTCATAATTAAAAACATATAAAATAATGAGAAGGAAGGAGAGAGATAAAGAGACGTCGCTTATTTGAGTGATGCAAGAAATGGTATATAGCCAAATGTCATCATCTAATTAGTTTATTTTTGTTTATTAATAAAATATGTTTAAAAGAAGCTATATTAGAGACGAACCGATAAAGATGCTCTTACATTCATGAAACCAAAACGACAAAAATGATAATAATGTAGGTGTCCGTGCTCTTCTCTCATATTCTTTGCTTTCTCTGAGTGAATTTTCCTATGTGTGAATTCGGTTGGCGACCTTATCCGTTTTCTTCTTCTACCCCAAATTTTCTATTTTTTTCCTTTTCTTAAGATTGGTCTCTGTGAATCCTGCATTCCGTATTGGCGATAGAACTTGTGAGATTTCGGATTGGAAAACAGTTTAAGAGTGAAAATGGGAGTCGAGAGGTTAACGCTGGAGAACTCTTTTCCTATGTAGTGTGCGGGTAAGAACTGAGATGTGTGTGGAAGTTTGTTGGATGAGAAAAGTCGATACCTAAAGAGCCAGAGCAGGTGATGAAGCTGAGATGGATCGGTAATTGGGAAGAAGATGATTCTTAAAAGCGGCCATTTTCCAGATTATCAGAAAAAATCGTATGTCTCCTCAGATCAAAGGGATTCCCAATCACCGTCAGGTCTCTCTTCCCGTCCCAGATTCTGATTCTTTTTATGTTTTGGTCGTAGTTATTAATTGGATGTTGATTTTCGATTCGAGTTGTTAGATTGAGACGAATAGACTCATTTCTGAGTTCTGATGGTGGTGAAAGATTTTGGATGTTAAAGTCTGCTTATACAGTGTGAACTGAATCTATGAATCATTTCCCTTTAATCTCTTATCGAATCGGTGATTCGCTACTTATTAAAATGCTTCTCGTGTTCTTCAACAGATTTTACAGATTCTTCTACAAATTATACACACATAATCTTCAGACTTAGTCCATCGACTCCTTCATCGCAGCTCTAAGCTGAGAATAATAATATTACTGTAATATCAATGGTGAATATTCTATGTCTTTCCGATCTTCATAATCTTCTAAAACACTTTCGCTCATCGATCACGATTTTATCAGAGGTTATGAGCTTCGCATAAAACTAAACGGCAGTATAGTCGAGGTGATCTTGATGGGTACATCAATTGCCATGGATAAAAACTTACATGCTCTCTCTTTCCGTCTTCTTAATTTTCTTTCTATCTCGCTCTCTGCTTTTAAGAGAACCACATTGATTTATTAACATTTTAGTTTTCAACAACTTCCATACGAAGGAAACGCGCTGGAACACGTGTGTTTGGATCTTATAAATTCTCCACACATCTTTCATTTAACAGCAGAAGCCATAAAGTTTATGCACCAAATATTCTTTCGAGCAGAAGGACATGCCCAAAAAGTTTGATAACAGTTTGTCAATGATAGACGAGGTTAGAGCTCTCTTCACTATTCCTTCGGCATGTTTTAGTTACCAAAAGAAATCTTTATGGCCACAAATGATTACTTTATCCATAGGAGGTGCTCGAAAAAATCATCACAGCAAATAAGGTATTCTTTCTACATCGGTGGAACCAAACAATTTTTACTGACACCCTTCTAGAAATCAGGGTACAAGACTTTGAAGTCATCCAAGAACATCTCCTTGATACGGTGAATGATCAATCTTCACAAAGTTTCAGAAGAACATCCTAAATAAGTCATATATTATCATATATCTACACAAATATATACATTACATACATGCTCTTACATATTTTATAGGCTTAAACTCACTCAAAAAATGCATAAAATTTCCACTTTCCAGCAATGATGCCAAGTACTAACGTTATGTTTGTGTGTATGTAAAACGTGAACATGTGATTTTACGTTTTTAGAGCATCAATAACGCAGAGCTTCACTGAAGCTCTAAGAAAAAAAAAAAAAAGATTTTTTTGGATGACATGGCGAGATTTGAGGAGAGAGGCGTCTCTATACGCAGGGGCGGAAGGAGCGACTCTCGCTGACGTGGCAAGACATGATTCGTCGATTTTTTTTTTTTAAACGATTAAAAAAAATTAATAATAAAAAAAAAATTTAAAGTTTTTTTACGCCTCTGCGTTATTGATGCTCTTAGAGCATCAGTAATGCACAACTTCTCAGAAGTTCTTAAATTTAAAAAAAAAAAAAAAAAAAAATGATGTGGCAAGCCAATATTTGAGAATCTATTCTCTGGATAGGGTCTGTAGAATCAGTTCTACTTTTTGCTTTGTCTTATATTTTTTTATTATTAAAAATTATTCTTCTCTCTCCTGTTTTAATATTAAATTATATATAAGAATCTCAACACAAAATTGTGCATTACTGATGCTTTTATGTAATCGCTGGTTCTGTTCTCTGTTTATACACGTAAATTAATATTTTATTATATATATTTTAATTTATGATTATTAAAATTCTTTATACTATATATATAATGGTGATATAATTTTAAATTTGTTAACTTATATAAATATAAAAATATTATTTAAATTAATTTGTAAAAAAAATTTTACTAAATGCTTTTAACTGATATTAGTATCATCCATATTTCTATGATCATATATCTTTATTATTTTACATATATCTCTTCACAAATTATAGTGTTAGTTTTAAATTTATTAGTTATAAAAAGATAGATGAAAACATTTTAATATTAAATAGAAGTTGATAATAATTAACTACACTCATCTACTATGTGTTAAATGAGAGAGATTATAATGTATCATTCAAAAGTTGTTTTTATCAAAATTCTGTTGTTTTCTTCTTGTTAAAACGACACTTCCCCCAACTATCACACATGTAAGATTAAGATTTAAATTTATGTAAAATTAAAATTTAAATTTGGTTATTATGACATTGTTTTCCTTGACTTTTCCATTGGTTCTTTCAGTATGAAGCTATTCAAACCATAAATATCATCTATTCGACTTCTATGTTGGTCTCCTTTCTCAGTCAGTCAATGCTCTAATGGCAGGATAGTATGATTTTCTTTTGAATCCCACTCTCTAAATCTTCCTTTCTACTTTCTCTCACTCATTAATTGAATAGTTACTTTACTTTCAAAGAGTTGCTTTATTACAAACAGAATACTATCAAAATTAAGAACTATTCCAATAAAAAAACTTTAGAGCTATCCTGCTGCATAATGTAGAAAATGTCAAGTTTACAAGTAGAAAATGGCGATCGGAAATATCAGAACCAAAGCAAAACCAATGTACAGGAGCACCTGCAATAGTGAGAACATCAACTTTTACGCATATTTGTCTTGAATACAAAAAGTACACCGAGTAAAGCACAAATCATAACCTTTACAATAGATTATAAGGACATGTAGCTAATCGGTTGTGAAGCACCCAAAGCTACTTCCACATGAGAAGACAGATATAGATATGTTGTCATGCTACTTGGGACAATGATTTTCATCCATATGCTACACTGCAGCTTAAAATTACAATAAAGAAAAACAACTAAATTCAGAGACCAACCGAGAACAACATGTGTCTACTGTTATGGTGGCAATCTTCATTGATATATCATGGTTTTTATCGTTTTTAACCATGATATAAGTCCTTTTTATTGAGTCTTTTTGGTCTTTTTAGAGTCCTAGAAGAGTCTTTGCAGGTTATAGCATGTCTGGAGCATAACTGAAGATATTGGAGCTTTTTGGAGCATTGCAAGTTGAAGCCACGAAGTATCCAACTCGGGAAGGAAAGTATGCATATGGATGACGCTCGTCACCACTTTTGGGAAGAAAGATGTTAATTTCATCAATGGAGGGGGTTTTCAGAGCCAAAAGTTTGGAAATCAGCAATGGAACAGAGGCTACAACAGCAATAATCAGCAGAGTACCTTTACAGGAGGACAGAGCACGCCTGGTTACACTCCTAAGCCCTCATTCCAGAAGACTGAAGTTGAAAAACCTTACCAAAACAGCAGGAATTTTGGTTCTTCTTCCTACCAAACTGCACCTCCAAAAGACAATAAAATGGAAGCTATGCTGGAGCAGGTACTTGAAGGACAGCAGAAGATGACAATGAATTTTAATGGCAAGCTAGATTCGTTGTATCAAGACCTGAATGGAAAAATTGAGAGTCTGAACTCTCACATGAAGAAGCTTGATGTGCAGGTTGCTCAAACTGCAGGAGCTGTTCAAAGGCAAGAGGGATTCCTTCCTGGAAGGACTGATATTAATCCCAAGCATCAAGTTAATGTCATCACAATCAGGAATGAAAAGGAGCTTAAAACAATGCAGAAAAAGAGGCTGAGTGCAGAGCAGATCGTGCAACTGATGGAGTCTGAAGATGAAAATTTTTCTGTCTCAGAGGTGAGTGACGAGCGTCACCAAGGAGGAGTGACGCTCGTCACCAACCTACAAGGATATCGGGGGTTGTCACAAGTGAGTGACGAGCGTCACCCCCCTGGTGACGGTCGTCACCCACCCCAGAACGAAGCTGCTTCGCCTGTAACTGCAAATTATGACCAGGAACGTGTCTATAAACCCAAAACACCATTCCCCAAGCATCCTAGGAAGTCTAAACAGGAGATAGAAGAAGCCAGATGCAAAGCTATGATAGACAAGCTGATGTTTGAGATCCCACTTGTTAATGCAGTCAAGCTTTCACCAGCTCTAAGAAAGTATGTAAAGAAGATGGTGGTGAATGGTGTAAGTCCTGAGGAAGGAGCATTGTTTACCAGAGACATCAGTGCAATTCTCTTAGGCACAGTTCCAAAGAAGAAGAAAAAGGTGACTGTTTCTGAACAAGTCAATACCATCACTCAAAGCAGAATTCCAGAGAAACTATCTGATCCAGAGACTTTTGTGCTTGATTGCTCAATATCTGCAGGACGTTTTCCACACTCTCTATGTGATCTAGGGTCAAGTATTAACTTGATGCCTTTCTCTGTTGCTGCTAGACTTGGAATGACTGATTTCAAGCCAGCTGGGATCTCTCTAATCCTAGCAGATCGATCCATAAGGACCCCAGAAAGCATGTTAGAGAATGTTCATGTTAACATTGAAGGCTGCATAATTCCTACAGATTTTGTGGTTTTAAAATATGCTGAAGAACCTAAAGATCCTCTTATTCTGGGAAGACCATTCTTGGCTACTGCTGGCGCCATCATTGATGTGAGAAAGGGGAACATTGAGCTTGATCTTGGTGATGTTGTCATGAACTTTGACATGGATAAGTTAAGAAAGAGTTCTACCATTGATGGTCAGACCTATTCTGTAAGAACTTCCAGAGATGAAGAGACTGTCATAGAGCATTCAGAAGACACTATTGCTGAGTGTGTCAATGAATCAGATATAAGTGGGCAAGTGAGCAAGATGGTTGTTGAAGAGTCAATATCTGAAACTTCTGCAGAAGCTGTTGGGTTTGAGGATTGCAGTGAGGATCATATCTTCATGGCTGAGATTGAAAAAGAGGTTCTAATGAATGCCAAGTTGCTGGAGGAAGACGTGTATGTGATGGAAGCAAGACTTGCAGAGCTGAATTGCTGGAAAACTGCAGCAACTCGAACTGCAGGGTCAGTGACGACCGTCACTGACCTGGTGACGCTCGTCACCAACCTGAACACAAAGCAGCAACGTGATTTTACAGCTACAAGTCCATCATATGTTGCCAATCCGAAAATTAACCATTCCACAACCCAGAAACCTGCAACTAAGCAAAGAATGCTTGGTGTTTCTTTTGATGATTAGAAGTATCCCACCCACACTCACGACCCACCCTGCTGATGTTTCTCACTTCCTTGAAAGAATCCATGCATCTACTGCCTATAAACCACCATGGATGAGGAGACATTCTTCTCCAAGGCATTCAATGCCACCCTCTGCTCCACCAGCTGTCTGAGCAGCATTCAAAGTCGAGCTAATGACTTTAAACAAGCGCTTAGTGGGAGGCAACCCACTAGTAAGTTTTCTTTTTCATATATTAGTTTAGTTTTCTATTACATAGCTAAAAAAAAAATCCAAACAAATGAGGAAAAATCAAAAAAAAAAAAAAAAAGTCACTTTGTTCAGTTTGCTTGGATGATATTTTGTGAACTTGTTGGATCATGGATTATGCTTTGTTTGGATGTTTTGATGTGTGTTTTTAGTGGTCTTACAGTTTGACTTCGGAGTACACATGATGGCATAGCATTTTAAACATCCAACATGTCGATTTCTGGAGTATCAGAGATGGTGACGCTCGTCACCAATCTGGTGACGCTCATCACCAGGTCCTTTGCGAGGTACCACTTTTCCACCTTGGTTTTACACGTTCTCATACTTTATTTTGACCAACTCTTGGCTTAATAACACTGGAGACAGTGTTGTTTAAGTCTGGGGGAGGTAGTTACTGACGTTGTGTGCTTTGTGTCATGTTTATAGAGTCTTAAAGTTGAGTCAAAAAACCTGTTTTTCTAGAGTCAAAATTTTTGAAACTGTTAGTTTTTCTTGGAACTAGCCATATGACGTTTTTGCTGATAAGAACCATTGTCACAGTAGTTGATTACAAGTCTTACTAAGTTGAAAGTCATAGGTAGATCAGTCTAGCAATGAAGGTTTAGGTTCTTAGAGAATCTGAAAAATTTGCTGTTAGCTCCACCTTAATGAACTTTAAACTTCTTGTCTTGGTGATTGATTCTTATTGATCTTGATTCTCTCTTTCAGCACTGAAAATAATGTTAAAATACAGTCTCTCTTTGATATTCCCTGATGTAGTTTTTAAAAGATTAAGTCCAAAGAATAGTGCATTCATGACCCTGTCTCCTCACAAGGAACAACAGTAGTGAACACACTCAAGAACCTGTCTCCTCACAAGGAACACAAGTATTGAGTAGCACCACTTCTTAGACTGAAAAAGTTGAGAAAAAGAAGTGAAAAATCGAAAATATCCTAAGAAAAAAAATTAAGGGAAGAGAAAATAGGAGAGCTGTGTTGAGATTGATTTGTTCAGTTGTTAGGAAGAGAAAAGAATCTGTAAAGTGATTGAGATGATAGAGCCTTGATGAGATTTCACACTTAGATAAAAAATAAGGAGTTAACAGTAGAAATTTCGAATTTCTTGAAGGGGTTTGGACTGGACTTGAAAGATTTGCTAAGCTAGTGATAATTAGACTGAAATTTGATCTTGTGTTGACTATGTAGTATGTGGATTCGAAAGCTCTAACTAGTGTGGTGTTCCCGATGACTGACTGACTGTTTCTTGTTTTCAAACCTCGACCTTATTCTTTGTCTAATGTTTGTTTGAGGGCAAGCAAAAGCTAAGTCTGAGGGAGTTGATATATCATGGTTTTTATGGTTTTTAACCATGATATAAGTCCTTTTTATTGAGTTTTTTTGGTTTTTTTAGAGTCCTAGAAGAGTCTTTGCAGGTTATAGCATGTCTGGAGCATAACTGAAAATATTGGAGCTTTTTGGAGCATTGCAAGTTGAAGCCACGAAGTATCCAACTCGGGAAGGAAAGTATGCATATGGATGACGCTCGTCACCCACCAAGGAAGGAGGTCGTGGCCTGTTTTTAAAAGATTGGGAAGAAATTGCAGTTTTTGCCCAAAAATTCCAGTATTTGCAAAAAGGTCCCAGATCGTGTTTTAGCTTGTATATTAGATTTTTCAGCCATTCTTTTGGCAGTAATCTTATATCTTATTATTTTGAGAGCTTTAGAGAGAGATTTGTAGAAGAACTTTTGAAGAGACAAATCAGACTCCTTCAGAGCAGATTTTGAACTCCTTTATTTCTACTTCTTATTTCTATTATGCAATCTATTCTTTTCATGATGTTTTCTCAAATCACCATGTCTGAATAGTTTGTTAGTTAAGTTAGGGCTTTTCAAATGTTGAAGAAGAGTTTGTAGAATTGTTAAAAACTTATAGGAAATTCATTGGTTCTTCATATGTGCTTGCATTCATATCGATTTCTTAGACACATCATCTGGATTTCGAAACCCTAAGTTTTTGATAGATGTGAGAGCATTATTAATCACCTGAACTAGTATTAGATGAGCAAAACGCCCTAGTACAAAGAGATTTGGCTTAGAAGTTTTGTGAACAATTGAACCTGATCATTACTGCATGTTTAGGTTGTTAGGATTTGCAAAGAGATTGAAACTCTGTGACTTAGACATAGATAACTTCTGCAATAAGAATTGATTAGTTATATCTTTGCGATTCATGTTCAAGACGGTTTTAATTCATTCCTGATTGCATGCATTCTACACTCTCGGATTCAACCTGCAAACTGTCCTGACTTAGCGCCTTTAGCCTTCTGAACTTTAAGAACAAACATAAAAACGTCTTCTTGCATTTATTTTACTGTTTTGCATTACATTCATTATTTATCGCTTAGCTTAATCTGAATCTATAATCGCTAATGTGGTTTACATACTCTCTTGGGATTCGATAATCCCTTATACTATAACTGCTTTTGCTGTGCACTTGCAGTAGTTTTATTTGTGTAAAACCTAACCCTATCATTCATACATAAGAATCTCAGAACCCAAAAAATAAGAGCTTAAACTGAACTTAGATACCTGCCACATCTCTCTATAAGTAAGTTGGTTATGGTCGAGATCAAAGACTGTCATAATTGAGACATGCTTGAGAGAACACCTATAAATTTACTCATCAGAGCCAAACCATCATCGTCTTAAGTATTTTAAGGCACAAAGCGAGATGACCTAATCAGAAGAGAAAGAGGTCTAAATGTCAAAAATAGAGTAGACTATGAACTTACCACAAGAGAAGAGGGTTGTAATAAAGAAATGCTTCGTACAAAATTAAATCTTGGAGGCGATGCTCATAACTGAATCCCATCCAATCTGTTCAAACAAGATAATCAACATTGCCAAAATGATCTATCAAGATTGTCAACATTCACATTTCTTAACAGCAACTTTAAAAAAATCTCTAGCCTTGCTTGAACATAAGGCCCAAAAGGAAACAAAACAACCTGGTAAGTTTTATTCAATTGATCAAAAAATACCATTGTATAAAGATTTATGCTCTTAAACAATATTATTTTGAAAGCAAACCTTAGAAATATTGGAGAAGTCACCATTGTTGTAATATGAAGTGGTAAATTTATTTACATGTAACCATCGCACATGTAAACATGGCAGAAACTGAATAAAAAATGCAAGAACAAGGAAGAAAACATTAACTCTAACACAACAAAAGGTATATTCCGTTTTGCATACCTCACGTGCCTTCTTCTTTCCTCTGTCCGGTTCTGAACCCTGAAAACATTTGATCAACAATTAAGCGAAAGCATGATGATAACAAAGCAAAAGAAACTAATAAAAAGGAAGATTTTTGAGGAAAGAACATACGCTGCATTCAGCTTTCTTTTCCATTTCATTCCTTTCTTGAGTAGTCTTTCATGTAATAAATCAAATTGGAAATGTCAAGCTGATATAAACTACAGAAATCAAAATTTCAGTGAGTCAAGGAGACAAGTAGAGATACCTGAGTCTCTTGGGCTTCGAAGATAGCATCAGCGAGAGCCTTATAATTGTCCTTGGCAATTAACTCCCAGTTCAAGAAAGCTTTTAGTGCTATGAATGCTCTTGGAATAGAGGATAAACAAGTGAAGATGGTCTTGAAAGAGACATAAAAGAACATAAAAGAAGAAACTGATTTCAATCACATAAGAGAGACTCGAAAGACAGATTAGAAACTCCTCATCTTCCTCATCAGAATCACCTTCAAAGCAAAAAGCAGAATCAAAAGCAAAAAAGACAAACCCAAAGCAAAATCAACAATTCAGACCCAAAATATCTAACCTAGCGGCAAAGACAAACCGCTAATAGCAGAAAAACGCAGAAAGTGAGTCGCTTCAAGGGTTTAAGACATTTGATCATCCTTATTATGTCAAATGCGGAAGAAGCAAGCTACGAAAATGAAACAAATGGAACTAAATCTTTAAAATGAGGAGAAAATGAAACCAAAACGAAGCACAGTCAAGTAAAACATAGACCCAAGCAAATCAAAGATTACATATTTAGAAACCATACATCTAAACCAGCAGTAAAGACACATCGAAAATAGCAGAAAAACGCAGAAACAGTTCCTCTAAGGAAAAACCCAGATATTTTTTTGGCGAAAGTCACTCGTTTGAACCTATGAAACGGTCACAAACTCACAAACGAAATCCTAATTGAAACGTTCTTCTTCTCTTTCAGAGAACAAGTAGCGTTAATGCGAGCTGAAGAAATGGGGTGAGAGGGTTAGGGTTTAATGCGAAGAAGATGAGGGTTTCGACTGCTTGCCAGAGAACCGTGGCCGTTGAACACGAAACGGAACCGACTGTAGAACACACACGAGGTGCCAGGTGCTTCTGTCGTTCTCTCTTGCTCGTTTCAATGGACTCTTGACTATCTTCTGATGCCTGCTGAAATTCCTTTTTATTGATTTGAGAAAAGTAAACTGCAGAAACCATCGCACATGTAAAATTATTATGACATGAAGGATGTGGAAGCATATGCATAAGGGTTGTTTCCAGCAGCTAACCTGATGGTGGTGCTGATCGTTGGTGGCTGGATTTTCCGCGGCGGCTTCAAACATCAAAAAATAATGCAATTTCCTCTCAAGATTCGATTATAAAAAACAAAAGAATTAGAAGCAAAATAACATCCCCTTACCCTTATTTCAAAATCTCAGTCATAGTAAATCATGATCAAATAATTGACAATCACCAATCACCATGATGAAAATGAAACAACACGAAGAAACGCCTTTACATGCGACTGTAACAGCAAATCCATGTCGACATGGACTGAATTCAGCTCATTCATGCCTTCATCGACAATTCACGCATTACCGAACACATCTACTCCCTTTTATTAACTTCGCCGGCAGTATCGATGGTGGCCTCGGGGGATGATGCGACTTGCGAGTGAATAGAGTAGCAAGCTTTGTCGCAACGAATTGACGCTTGATCTCTTATCGATTCGTCTTGTCATCTCCTCCTTCATCTTCCGCTGGCTTTTGGAGTACATAGATTATTTATGTACAAGTTTTTGGGGTTTCTGGATTTTAGAGGAATATAGGAAGAAAATTATGGACTGTACTGTTAATGGGCCACAATATATTAAACGCACTCTTTTTATCATCTTATTATAGTTTAGGCCGAATAGGAAATCATTTCTTCATGAAAATTAAAAACAGAAAAACAAAATATTGCGCAGGTGTCATGAAAGAGTGCTGACATGTCACTTCCTTGTGAGACACAAGTCTATCATTATATAATAGACTAGATTTTTAACTCGTATAACACACAAATATGTATTAATAATTTAGTTTAATTCTTTTTAGGCTAATATCTTTTAAATTATCAAAAGACTCAAAACTATAATATATTTATAGAAATTTTCTTTTATATAAAAAAAAATAAAACCTAATATGTAGCTTTACCTATTTTTATTATAATAATTATAAATCTTATTAAATAAAATCTTAGTAATAACATTTATCGAATTATCCAACTTCGACGTGCATATGTTTGATTTAGAGAATAATTTATTTACTAATTTTTTAGTGTTTTGTTTTGTGTCCTTAGGATTTATATAGTTCTTTTTTAAGGTTTATATGTTCAAATATTTAATTTTTGATTCAATGTCTTGCTGATGTTGTGTACCTATATATATATAATATATGATTCATGATTTTGATTTATTTTGTTAAGATGCTACAATAATCATGTAATGTTGCTTCTTGCTTCTCTACCGGATCTAATTCTATGAATTTTAGGTTATATCTCTATTCAATTTATAAAATCTGTTTTATTTGCAGTTAACTATTTGATAGTTTTTGTTTTGAAACATATAAGATGGTGCGGAGTCTTCACATTATCACTATTTTTATCTTTTGTGAGGTTTATTCATGTTTTGATTTGAACAGTTTATCTAGATATATTCTAATTTGAATTTGATTCATAATTGTGTCATACTTTATTATTTAAAAGAAGTTTTAGAAGATGTTACTCATGTTGTGTTCATGTTGGCTAAGTTATAAGTAGTAACTATGTATATATTAGTTGTTATATTTCGAATGTAAAATTACTTGTGTAGTATTTTTTTGTTAGTTTTTTAACCAGACTCAGCCAAGGTATTAGTCACTGTAAATTTAAATAATATGTTTGATTTAGAAACTTATATAACTTACTGTAACTTTATATGATTATTCATAGTCAATACTAATATTTTAGAAATCATGAATTTTCTAGTACTAAATTTCAAACTAATTTTCTTCTTAGATTTTATTTTTTTGTTATTTTACGTATCTTTCGATGGTAATTTTATATTTTATTTTAACTTATCTAATTTTTTGCATGTTGTTTATATTTAAAACATATATATCCTTAATTAATCTCTTTTGTTATTGATTTTCCAAATATGTAGCATATATCAATTTAATATGTTTTACATAAATATTTTTTCTTTGTTAAATTTATTTTTTACGTTAATTTTTATTTTAATTATAATGCTATTTTGACATGCTATGACTGGGTATTCTAAATTTTATGTGGACTTCTCTCAAAAGTTTATACCATCATTTGCTTTTTAATTAATCTTTTTATGTTAATTTTCCAAAATATTAGCCTAAATATCAAACTAGATTTTTTTATACAATTTTTCCTTTGATAATTTACCTCTCTTGATATTAATTTCTATTTTATGTTAAGACATAATTGTTTTGAATATATTAATATTTTTGAAGACATAACTTTATTTTTCATTTTTTGTTAGTTAAATATTTTAATATTGATTTCTTAAGTAGTTAGTCAGATATCAAGTCAATTTACTTTTAGGTAATTTTTAAAAAATTTAACATCTTGTAAAAATTAATTTATGTTTTATTTTACTTTGTTAATTAATTTCTTAATATTAATTTTTAAAATAATTTGCTTAAATATTTATCTTTTTTTTGTTAGTAAAGTTTTTCAATATTAATTAAGTTATTTTATTTTGTTACTTGTTTTGTTTATATTAATATTTGTTAAATAAAAAATAGCATAGATATCAAGTTAATATCCTCTTTTTTGTTAATTTTAGTTATTTTTTTATAAGAATTTTATTCTAATTGTACTGATATACTGTAAAAAAATAATTTACGTTTAGTTATGAGGACCAGGCATTAAAAACGGTGGCTTAGAAATCGTTATTGTAGTCGGAAGATAATCCCTCGCTGCCGTGTCCTTGCATCGTCTACACTTCTCAGAATCCACGAAGCCATGAATATACATACATATAACTCATAAATATATGCAAGTCTAAGTCAAGTAAATTCACATCAAATAAAGGTTGTGGAGTCAAGTAAATTCATATCAAATAAAATAAAATAAAATTATCTTTCAAGTAGAAAATATATAAAAAAAGATTTGGTTAAATAGAAAATATAGATTCTAATTTGCTAAACTGTGGAATTGTGAAATCACCCAAAGAAACAAAATGGTGAAATGAAATAAAAATCCGCATAATGATGAACAAGCTATTGATATGAAACAATAATAAAAAACTGTAATTGAATAAATTTTATCGAATTGTGGAATATACTACAAAACTACAAATAGATATATTTAACATGAATTTTTGACTCACTAAACAAATGTAAAATGTTCTATATCTACAAAATCATAAATAACTAAACATGTGAGAACAAAAAATTTCAGTTACTTTTCTAAACATAAATGGTGTGAGTTAAGGTTATTTTTTTTTTTGACGTCAAAAGCTCCTTGTATTATTAGATCCTAAATAAGGATGGCTCAAGAGCCAGCTAGTTTGGAAGGAAATTGTTTACATAGGAGAAAGAATAACCTCGGGTTAGAACGCTCTTAGCGAGACAATCAGCCCGGACATTAAGATTGCGAAGAATAAATTTAAGAGAGAAATTATGGAGATAAGATTTGAGAAACTCAAACTCTTCTAATTCCGTTGCTAAAGCCGGCCATTCCTCTTCTTCTTCAATTAGTCTTACCAACAGCTGGCAATCTGTTTGAAAGATCAGACGAGGAATATGGCATGGTGTGAGAACTTTCATAGCCCATAGTAAGGCTTCCATCTCCGCATGAAGTGGGGATAAGACTTGGTCAATCGCCATCAGGCCGTTCGGCTCCCGTTTTCGCGCTCCAAGAAGAAGCCTCCTCCAGATAATATACCCTCATGTGTCCAAAAGGCATCAACCTGACATCTCGCAGTCCCTAGCTCTCTGCTTTGTTTTTGTCGTACTTGGCATTCCTCCGATAATGATGCCGAACTATTCTCTTGTGCTGGGTTGGTTTGGTATATAAGTTGCGCTATTTTCCACGACTCAGATTCTCACATAGCAGTCTCAAGTGTCTCAGCTGGTGAGACATCCTTATTATTAAATACCTTATCATTTCGAACCGTCCATATATACTAGAGGATCCAAGGGAACAATTCTAGGCATGTTTTCGGGACCCCTTGTTCGGAGGCTCGTCCGGTAAGGTAATCAAAAATTTTGTGATATAACCACACGGGAAGATTCCCGAAGCGGACGGTATCGTACTAAGTGCCCACACCTGTGTGGCTGGAGGACATTTGAAAAGAACATGATTGATTGTCTCTTCCGTCGCTCCACACCATGGGCATTGGCGATCTGTCCCGCAATGGCGGTTTACCAGCTGGTTATTGGCTGCTATACATCCTGACAAGGCTTGTCACATAAAGTGTTTGATCTTCCCTGATGTCTTTTGTTCCCATATCCTCGTTTTTAAAGGGTTGAAACTTGGTTCTAGGACTGGTGGTCTGCGTCCTGCTTCTTTTATTTGGATCGCTAGGTCATATCCCGTTCTGACCGAGTACATACCTGACTTTGAGTATGCCCATATAAATCTGTCCGGTGTATATGCTCTGCTGGGACGTATACTCTTTATGCACGGAACTTCCTCCAGATTAAAAAAGGTATTCAGAAGCGGTGTACGCCATGCTGAGGTGACTGGGTCAATAAGATGATGGACATAAAGATCCACATCTCTCCCTCCTCCATTATCTTGGGAGGCGGGGTGGACAGACTGGTAGCCAGTTATCGTACCAGACCCTTGTACTAATTTCTGAATTTATTGACTTCCTTAGTCTTGCAAGTAGTAGCTCCTTACCCACCATTATGCTCCGCCATCCGTAGGAAGGGTTACTTGCGCGTTCCACCTCCAAGGGGGAAGAAAATCTGTAATATATCGCTTTTAGAACGCGAGCCAGTAAGGACGATGGGTAGTGGATTAATCACCATAGTTGTTTCGCAAGCAGCGCTATATTGAAACTATTTAGGTCTCTAAATCCTAAACCCCTTTTACTTTTGTCACTGCAGATTTCATCCTATGCTATCCAGTGTAAGCCTTTGTTTGATTGTTTTGTACTCCACTAGAAGTGTGAAATTTCTCCATTGAGCTTCTTCAGAATAGATTTCGGCAGCAGAAAGCATGACATGACATAAGTTGACAGCGCCTGTGCTACTGACTTATTCAGAACTTCCTTTCCTCCTTTTGAGAGAAGTTCTGAGGACTAGGCGTTAATCCTTTGGCTGAGGCGATCTTGAATGAATGCAAAAACTTGTTTCTTTGATCCACAAATTTTCTCTGCTAATTTTAATATTTCGCGGGGGTCGCGATTAATGTTTGAGAATATCTTGTCATTCCTCATTTTCCAGTTATACCATAAAATCCAAGGGTATACCTTCATGTCTTCATGATCCGGAAGATGCCAAAATAGATTGGCCATATTGGAATATAAGCCATTCGTTGGAAACCGATGTATAGGTGTAGGTATTGATGACAATGCCCAAACCTGAAATGCCGGAGGACATTCAAAAAGTGTATAGTTAATAGTTTCCCTATCCGCACCACATCTACTGCAATGTGGATCACAATCTACACCTCTGTTCTGTAGCCGGTCCATGACTGCCAGACATCCTGAAAGTACTTGCCATAAAAAATGTTTCAGATTTGGTGGGCATTTGACCTTCCATACTTGTGCCTGTAATTGACAGATATTCGGTCCATATAAAATTAGCTTATTCTTCGGTTGGGGATAAGCTTGTGTCGTTTGGTATCCTGATT